TTTCCGAAAATGCTTTCTGTTGGAGTGCTCCCCATGTCCAGCTGTTCTCGGATTTCAGCAGGTCACGGATTGGCTTTGTCAGGTCAGGTAGGCGGGGTGAAAATTTGCCAACATAATTCACCATGCCCATGAAACAGCGGACCTCTGCTACATCTTTTGGCTCAGGCATGTTGAGGATTGCTTTAATCTTATCTGGGTTTGCTCTTATGCCTTGAGAATTTATGACGTGGCCCAGGAACCGAATCTCAGTCAGAGCAAACTGGCATTTTTCATTGAAAGTGAGTCCTGCCTCTTTGAATTTCTGCAGGACCCAGTGAAGCCTCTCGTCATGCTCTGCCCGGTCCTTTCCTATGACAAGAACATCATCAGCATGACACAGAACTCCCTCAATCAGCTGAGAAATCCTCTTTTGGAAATGTTCAGGTGCTGATGATATACCAAAAGGCAGTCTCTTGAAGTAATAGCAGCCCTCTGGCATGACGAAGGTGGTAAGTGGCATCAAATCTTTATGGAGTGGTATCTGCCAGAAGCCTGAAGTCGCATCAAGCTTTGTGAAGATTTTGGTTCCCTCGAGCTTGGCCAGCATCTCGTCCACTGCTGGCAAAATATGTCTCTCTCTGATGACGTTCTTATGTGAGAAAGACTCTGTTAAGGTTAAGGTTAATTGAGGAGTTGTTAGTTTTGTAATACGGAAATTATTTTAGACTTAATTTTAGCTGTAGGAAGAGGTCAGCGTTTGACTACAGCCGACAGAGTTTAGAGGCGTTAAAGTCTCAGGCCAACATGGTCATATTTTGATTTTACCTATTCTGAGTTCCGATGTTCCATGGTTTAAAAACCACGGAAGGGGGGACTGTAGTGGTGAAAAAATAAACCCTATTCCAGAGGAAATATGTAATGGAACAGTATGTAGCTCAATATAGACCTTATTTGGTACTAGCTCGTGTAAGGGAGAGCTGAGTGATTATGGGTTTATTAAGTTCATGTGAGGTGGACAATGGGCTTATGTAAGTGGTTATATAATTAATACTTAGAATCCTAGTTAAGGCCTAGTATGGTCAGAGATGAACCCTCTGCGCCAGAAGATTGGGAGTCAACCTTCCTGTCTTCCTGGAATGGAGTGAGAAGGGGGGTTGCAGAAATGTTAAGGGGGACAGAGTCCAGCTGTTGAGAAGTGGCTAGTGGCTGAGCTGATAAAGAGAAGTGAGCCTGAGGGAGCCGGGGGTAGAGAGGAGATGACCATGCTGCAGTAACCAGTAGACGAGGTACCTTCTAGGGACCCAGCCGGCTGGGGAGAAGATGACTGACTGGGGCTGACTGACCCAGGACTGGTAACAAAGGACCTGACCTGACTGACTGGTGCTCTGACAATCTTTAGGCTCTATCTATTTCATTGCAGGTATTTCATTGCAGGAGGAGAGTCTCTGTTCTCTGTTCCCTAACTACAAGATTATCTGTTTAGATGCTACTCTATTTAGAATAATTGAAATATTAAATGATCCTTTAAATTGTAATGGTTTGTCTGAATTTATTTAGTTGGTATCTCACTCTTGCCACGACAGTGTCTCTGTGTCCTCTATGCTATGGAGCTGAGGAATAATTTGCAGTCTGCGAATGGCAGGAAGACCCAGGATGGGGGTGGGCAGGTCCTTCACAAAAAATACCTCACTCTTCCTTTCTCCTCTCTGAATGACAGCCCGTACTTGGCCTGTAACCTCCAGAGGTTGGCTGGTGGGCCCCAGCAGAGGTCGGTGTGGTGTTGTGTAGTTGCCATATTTCTCTCATGTGTATTCTGTATCCAGTGTGGCAGTCACTGATGCACCTGTGTCTATCTTGAAGCACAGCAGACAGCCACTTACTCTAAGCATTTCTGTCCACATGGATGACTGTGGGTGGTCTACTGCACCTAGATAAGCTGCCATGTCATCCTCCTTGATAGATTCCAACTTTTGGGCTGATCTGCACACTGATGCGAAGTGTCCCCTCTCGCGGCATTTTCTACAGTCCATGTCTTTTGTTGGGCATTCATTCCATGCATGTTTTGGGGACTTACCCCACTTTCCACATTGCTTTGAGTTGATAGAGGCAGGTTGAGCCCGAGAATAGCTTCTGTGTTGAGCAGACTTTTTCCTATAAGCCTGTCTCTTGCGGTTATGAGATATTGTCTCTAGCTGCCCCGATGAATCACCCGATCGTAGAACAGCTTGTTGCTTTTTAACTTCTTCATGCTGCCTCACCTGAACAATGGCTGCAGCTAAATCCAGATTTGGGTTGAGCTGCATTCTTTCAGACATTTTGGTGTCACGTATGCCAACAACAATCCTATCTCGAATAATTTCTTCACGTAGGATGCCATATTTGCAATGTTCAGCTAATTTGTGCACTGCTGTGATAAAGTTCTCTGCTGATTCTCCAACCTCCTGGCACCGCTTATTAAACTTGGCTCTCTCATATATGACATTGTGTACCCCTACAAAGTGTCCATCGAAAGCCTTCTTCACCTCATCATAGACCTTAGTCATAGATCATAGTCTTGTTTATCCTCTGCCATTTTCAGTGAGCTCAGGATATCATCT